CCTCTGCCCAGCGCTGCCTGCGCTCCGGGGGCTGTCAGTCCACTCTCACATATCATAGAATCATAGAATCAGCCAGGTTGGAAAAGACCTCCAAGATCAGGTCCAACCCTACCATGGTCACTAGACCATGGCACTAAGTGCCACATCCAGTCTCATCTTCAAAACCTCCAGGGATGGTGAATCCACCACCTCCCTGGGTAGCACATTCCAGTGCCTGATCACTCTCTCTGTAAAAAATCTCTTCCTAATATCCAACCTAACCCTCCCCTGGCAGAGCTTGAGTCTGTGCCCTCTTGTCCTGCTGCTGGTTGCCTGGGAGAAGAGACCAATCCCCACCTGACTCCAGCCTCCTGTCAGGGAGTTGCAGAGGGTGATAAGGTCTCCCCTGAGCCTCCTCTTCTCCAGGCTGAACAACCCCAGCTCCTTCACCAGCAAAGCCTTCCCTTTCTCATTCTTCAAAGCTAATCTTTGCTGTGCCCCATATCTCAGCAAGGAGAAAGCATTGCATGCTGCAGGTATGTGCAAAGCACATCATCTCGTGTTTGACTTTCCTGACACAATTAATGCCTTTACAAAAAGCAGAACTGCCATTGTATTCAAATTGGCAAATATGAACTTGGTTGTTCAGTCAGAAAGAGTTACACCTTGTTGTAAAAGAGAGTCTCTGGAATAGTGCATCATGGAGAGATCACTTCTATTTTGAGATACCAGTTTGCTTGCTCTAAAATACTTTTTATTTCCTATACTAATACTCACAAGCACTTAATAATATATAAAAGCCAAGTATTTCCCTGTCTGCAGGTCAGTAGGTCTGTATATCCAGCATGTTTGCATCAGTTTGAGAAATCTGAATGCCAGGAATGTGTTCATGGATGTGCTCTGTCCAGTGTCCCTGGTTGTGCCAGGTGATCTGAAATCTTTGCTGTCTTGAAGCAATCAGCTCAAATCTTTCTCATCATCATACTATGAATCATCCTGAGTGAGAGAACAGCGTGTTCTCAGAGTAGCTTTAGAAAAGGTTGTAGAGGATATGGATAAATAAAAAGGTATTTGTGCACAGGCAGCTTTACTACTGTTTTGTTTTTTTTCTTGAGAGACTAGTCATGTTTTCCTTCTAGAGTGCTTGAAATACTAATTTCAAGAAAAAAGTTGTTAGAGCATGCCTATTTTTTTAGGTAGCATGAAGGAATTGGACATGGGGTGGGATGTTAAAGATTCATGTACTTTACATGACAGTCTTAGATTATTTGAGTTAATAAATGATATCGCTGTCTTCTTTTTAACTATGGCCTGCTAATAAGATGAATTTAAAATGCTAACAGATGTTATGTTAGGCCTTATTTGAAACTTGATTTTCTTCTTGGCAAGAGACCAGCAGTCCATGTGATGTTTGCCTTTTGGGCAGCCTAATCATGGCCTTTTAATGACATTTCCGGAGTGCGTAATGACAGGAGTGTATATATATCTCTTACTGTCAATAATATTTGAGAGGAAATACTAACAGGAAGATTTTGGTGGTTTTATGTTACTGTTAACTTGCTGATGATACTGGTTTTTATGAAGTAATCTGTTCTACTCCCTTTTTAAACAATCTGTGCCTCCTAGTGGAGTCAGACAACTGCTTTTCTCTAAATAATCCTACCTGCTAAGTTTCCTGCTGGATCTCATATCCTGAGACACAGGCAGTGCCAAGGCCTGTGTAGATGGTTGGTTTGCTATCAGCAAGTGGAAAGCTCAGCACTAGGGAAGGTCCAGGCTCATTTTACAACTGTGACCCTGAAACATTTGTTGGAGCTCTGTAAAGATTGGATCACTTCAGGGCACTTTCCACTAGTTTGTACCATTTTTATACTGAAAAGGCATCCTGTAAAATAAAGTGCTTCCAAACCTTTATCAAGTCACTCATTGCTCAGTGCTCTGTATAATGTTCAGTGTGACACATTCTGAATTAGTGCTGTGTTCTCGTCTGGCTAAGACCAAAACCAAACTGGGAAACAGTTGCCATCTCAGCTAACATGTTTTAGTTCCAGATAAATACATTTTATATATCATCCTGTCTGCACTGTTGGCCTTTCCCTTTCCTTTTTTCCCCCTTTTTTAGGTGAATGACAGATTAACTAGTTTTCTGTGTCTAAATTTGGCTGTTTGAACTTCTCTTGTGAGCCTCATGACATTGGAGATACGAAATTAGAATCATGGCAGTAGTGTTGGCTACAGAAGAACCTTTATCTGGATCTTTACCTACTTCTGCAAATTGTTGCTCTTAAACCTTAATGAAATGCACTCCAGAGGGTTTCTGTATGAGTAGCCTGGCATTGGTTTGTCTAGGACTTCTGGAAGTTTCCTAGGCACAAGTTGGTTGATGTGCACAGGTATTCAACATGCATGGCACAAAAACTCTTCCATGGTGCATGGAAATGCAACTCTGCTATTGAATAGTGGAAGTTTCTGAGTTCTGGTGGCAGTTTTTGACCTTCTAAAATAGAACATGGCCTATTTCTAGTAGGTTTCTATAACTTGGATATAGTATGCTTTGGATTTTCTTGTCTGTGTATTCTTTGAAGGTACTGGTTATACCTCTTAGAGCTGCAAAGAGTCAGTTGTAAACTTAATAGTGTTCAGGGTAGTTGAGATACCTGGTGAGGTATTATGTCTCACTGGTAGCCAGGTCTTTATCACCTGCCAGCTCAGCTACTTCATAGATCAGCACTTGAGTTGTGGAATGTTTCCTCAGCAGTGCTGGGTATTTATAGTAGTGGCTGTCTTTAGGGAAAGGGGATAGGTGGTGTGTGTAGAGCTGGGCAACTGTTTACATTGCAGTCCAGAGATCAACTCCCTGTGGTTTAACACCAGATATTCATTATTTGCTCTCTGCTTCCAGAGAGTAAATTTAGAGTTATTTGGGAACTGCCACATTTCATGCAACCTGGTGTTACTGCATGTCACCAAAAAGCCTACTCAGACAGATTTGTTGCACATACACTGAGTTCTGTTTATCATCACAGACACTTTGTTCATGGTTAAGAATTTATTTTGTTAAATCTTTGAATGCCAGAGGGGGAATAATGTGGAGGATTTCTGCTGTTCCACCTACTCAGATAGTAATGAATTCATTTGTTTTTCTGGCTTTGTAAAAAGACTGTTAAGATATATATGTCTCTTTCTTTCATAGTCTGTGAAAATTCTAAGCATTCTATACTGATCTAGGAAAAATGGTGACATGTGGACCTGTTTTAAAACAATGTTTTCTTCCGATTTTCCTTAGGTCTCGTTAGGTGGTGTTGATCTCACTGTGCGTGTCCTCACAACAGGTTACTGGCCTACCCAGTCAGCCACACCAAAGTGCAACATCCCTCCAGCTCCCAGACATGCTTTTGAAATATTTAGAAGGTACGTGTTAAAACAGATGTTTGGGCTGCTCTTCTTCAGTTCATATGGAAATTGGAGGAAGCAATAGTCACATTATTATGCTTGAGGTTTTGGGAGATGTTAAGTAGAATTCTAACAGGAGTTAATGTTTGGAAAAAGCAAAAAGCTCAAAATTTCCTAAGTGTCCTTAATGGCTGCAAAAAGTCTAAGTAACTTTTTTTTAAGCTGTTTTCTCTTCAGTACAAAAGGTGAACTACGTTTTCAATTTGACTCTGTTGCAGATTTTATTTAGCCAAACATAGTGGGCGCCAGCTGACACTCCAGCACCACATGGGTTCTGCAGATCTCAATGCCACTTTCTATGGGCCTGTTAAAAAGGTAAAGTATCAAGATTATGTAAATATTGTGTCTTTTTTAAAAAGCAAGCAAATGCACATTTCTAGTAACCTGAGAATGCTGTACAATCAAAGCTTACCTATTGAGGATGTATGAATAAGAAAGAGGTACATTCCATCAGCCTTGTAGTCTGGTTCTGCCTTTGTGGCAGTTTTGGTTTGATTTTTTTCTCCCCTCTGGATCTAATTTGATTGCTTCACTCTGCATCATCTTCTACCTTGTAGAAAAGTAGTAAATTTGATCTTGAAGGGACCTCACTGGTTTGAGTGGTTTGGGTTTTTTTTTGACTGTGTCAGTCAGAGGTGCAAAGATCCTTGTTTCTCTTTACTTATTTTTGTTAAGCCAAGTTTAACCTGCTTTCCATATGCAGAGTGCTAGCAGTGTAGACAGCATTTTGTTGCAAACAAGAATCTGAGCAGTGTGTATGGAAGTGCAATATGCTTAATTTGTATGTATGCAAGAAAATAATTTTCTAGTGATTCAGACCAGCTCTGCAGTGCTGAACTAGAGGTGGTACTGGCATAGTGCTTGGGAATGTAGAAGGCAGTGCAAAACAAAATCAAAATTATTATAACAAAGTACTAATAATGTGCATTTGTGAGGATGTTAAAATTGTGTTACTGTAAGATAAATATTTAGATAATTTTAAATCTAAGAGTAAGGAAACTCGGAGAGTGGGCACAGTGGAACAGCAGCCAGAGAGGTGGTAGAGTCTCCATCCTTAGTCATTCTCAGTATTTGCCTGATGGCTGGAGTGGTGGTTGCACCACAGAACTTAGAGAGGTTCCTCCAGCCTCAAATCCCTCTGTCATTCCAAGGCAGCTACTGCAGGAACATCCTCTTTATGCCCCCAGGTGTGCACTGCCCTATTGCTTGTGCAGATTGATCTCCTAGATAAAGTTTGAATCCTAGAACTTGCATGTTACCAAGGTGAAATATTTTTCAGTGAAGAGTAATCTAATAGCAGTTTTGGATTTTTAAAACAGGAAGATGGCTCAGAAGTTGGTGTAGGAGGTGCCCAAGTAACTGGCTCGAATACACGGAAGCACATACTGCAGGTCTCCACGTTCCAGATGACGATATTAATGCTCTTTAACAACAGAGAAAAGTACACATTTGAGGTAAGTGCTGTGGGTTTCTCACCTGACTTTAAATAACTGTTTCAGGCACTTGCTTTTCCTCTTGAATAGGGCTTTGAAGATCAGGTACCTCTCATTCTATTTGGTTTGGGCCAATGAGCACAGGACGCAGAGATCATTAGCAGCACACATGGGAAGCAGTTCCAGGGAAGGAACAGAAGTTTTCAGAAATTGTTAGTGTGGTTATTCTTAGGCCATCAAGCTGTAGAAGAGCTGAAGTTGGAATGCAGCAGGTGGCTCCATTTCCTCATTTTATCTCTGAGAAACTGGATTGAGAGGCCAAAGGGTGGAGAAGGGTTTGTATCCTGGCTCCTTGGATACCTAAGTGCTTAAATTGTCAGGCTGGAGTGTGCTGTAGGATGAATCAGAGACCTTTCAGCCCTTCTCTGAGCTGGTCAGCCAGAAAGGACCATGAAGAAGGTACAGATAGATTCTTAACGAGGAGATTAGAGGGGCTTTGCTGGGAAAGGTTCAAGTGGTCAGATAAAGTTTTAGGAGTGGAAGAAGATCCTGTGCTATGAGTTTTGAGCATTGTATTGGTAATGGGAATGAATAGTTTTGTTCTAGACATTATCTTCTGTTTGAGAGAGCACTGGCAGCCTTGGAAAGCAATATGGATGCAGTTTGAAACAGTAGATTCCCAGGTTTTCTCATCTGCTTTGACTCTGCTGTGCATGGTAATCATTTGCCTTTTTGTTTGGATTTTGTTTTCAGATTATTTGGCATGTTTCTAGCCTGTTAAGAAAGACAGTTTCTTTGAAATGGTCTCAGTTGGGATTAAGGAATGCAGGATTTGATAAGAGGCTCTTAATATACTACTCATAATTCTAAAAAAAAAAAAGACATTATTTTAGAGAGCAGAAACGCCTGTATGTTGTGAAATCTAGTGCAGGAGCATTATAGCTTTGAGTGGTTTCTCTGCAGAGTACTTAAGAGAGCAAAAACAAGGAGTGGGACTTAACAGCTCATTTTTTTCTTGAAGCTGGTTTTGAAGTAGGACTGGTCCCTACCTTGTCCCACAGAATTGTAGGCATTGAGTAGTAGAGCCTCACTCATAGATGAATAAATAATACTTGGTAGAGCAGTGAAAAATACAATTTTTAATACATGCTCTAAATGATAGTTTATTTTACTAAGACCAACTGATAGAGAAATATGTCCATCTGCTTTTAGGTTGTGTATGTTTTGTTTATTTCTGGTTTGGGAGTTCTTAGGCTCTTACTTTGTGTCCCACTGTAACTAAAACATGAAGAAGGCATATTTGTTTTGTTTGGTTTCTTGGGTGAAGTGTGTGGGAGTCTTTAACTCCAGCCAGGAAAGCTTATGAAAGCTGAAGAGGAGAATGAATTTTATCTTTCTCATTGATTATAGAGTGCCACAATGAACTGCTGAGTGCTGGGCAACCAGTACTTCTCAGTCATCGAATAAGTGCTTTAACTGCAGCATAGCGTGTGAGCTGACTTGTGTGTACTTGTGTGAGCCTACAACTGTCTGACATAGCAGTGTTTCTGGAGATTCACAGCTGAACAGAGGAGTTTCAAGTTGCCTTCACAGCTGAACAGACTTTGCTGTTTTATTTTGCATACAGTGTGATTATTAATCACAAACTTAAAATAATCCTAGTAGCCATTAAGCCACATGGTGGAGAGGAAAATGAGTTGTTGATGATGCAAAAATGATGCATAAGATGCTATGGAAACCTAAAAGATGATTGCATAGAAAAATTCCTTGACAATAATTGATTGTAATCCTATACAACAAAATTTTCTTTGTATATGTACAAGAGCTGATGGTCATCTGGGTCTAGGTTAGTGCTGCTAAAGTGGAAGAGGAAGGATCCTCATGCAAACCTTCAAAGAATGCTGATTTTGCAAAGAATTCAATTTCTTCTAATCAAATCTCATGTAATGCTCAACATATTTTTCTGCTCATTTACAGTACAGCTCAGATTTTAAAAGGTGAAGTGCACAGGTTTTGTAATGATCATAACCAAAGTTGGCTCTTAGGTTTAACACAGAGGAAATACAAATGTGACTGCAGTAGAAGTTGTTGAGTAATTCCATCAAAAATGAGAGATTAGAACTTGAACTAGATTGCCTGTTTGCTCTTTTGCTGAGGTTTGCTTTGAAGTCTGTAAAGAAAACTAAAAATACTTTTTGTATTATTATTTCCAAAACAATGCATAATGCTTTTCCTTACACACATTTTCCTTCTAGTAAACTTTCTTCCTTGTGTAGAACAGCATAGAGACAGTTCCATACCTAGAGTGATCTCTGTTGTAGCCTCCAGATAGAGCTCACTTGGGAATATTTTTAACACTAAGTCTGTGTAATCAGTACTACTCTTGGGCACGAATCTAATGTGGTCTTTAAAGTAAGGCATTTTTGGAGATGGGGAAGAAGTATACATACATTTTTCACTGTTACATCAAATATCTATATAAAAATACATTTAGAAAAATGTTATGCTACAGACTGAAGGAAAGAGAGCACAGGAACATCTGTTATCCTCATTTACATTCATGGCTGCATTTTTTTTATCCAACTTGAAATTTTTGCCTTCTGAGGCAGCGAGTTACAGTGCAATTCTTCGTGGTTCTAACTTGAATGCAGGCTCAGAAATTCTGAGACCCAAGTGGTTTCAGATGGTTCACATGCATTAGTGGCTGAGCTGGAATGCTGCAGAGTGAAGTAGAGAAACAGAAGTACAGAGTGGTTAGTTGCAGAATTGTTAGCCTCAAAAAAAACTCCAATTCCCTTCTATCTTTTTGTTTCACTTTCATCAGAAGCAGAGTGTATATATATTCCCTTGTCGAAGTGATTTCTGTCTAGGTTGATTTTAAAGACAACTTTGGTACACTCAAGAAACAACATTACTTGATAGAACTTTGTTTTTTCTAGTCACTGCTTAAAGAACTTTTCACAAGTTCTTTACAGTTCTTTACAGATATTTAGCATTTTGATGATTGGGAGTTGTTAGTGCTGCTTTTAACCTAAAGTCAGCACTTAGACTTGTGTGCCATGAGACTTGGGAATTCATGGGGACAGTGTAAGAGCTTGATACTACTCTTGGAACCAAAGCCGGGGAAGCTGAGGAAGTGATAGCTCTTGTGGACAACTACATGTCTGTTGAGGGTTATTTTTTTGTCTTTGATGGTTCAATCCTTGGCTGCTAGGAGGCCCTTAAGAGTCTGAGTGGGAATGTGACATCAGAGGTGTCTGCAGTTGCCTCAGGCTGGAAAAAGGAAAAAAGCAAGTGGAAATGAACTTGCACTGAATGGGAGCTCAGTAAACATTTTCCATCACAGATTCGATTTGACTCTGTTCAGCAAACCTTGGAAACTGCAAATAAATCCTTTTCAGCCTTCTCAAAAATGACAGTGAAATGAAACGGTTGTTTGATCTCCTACTTTCAGCTCATGGTGACTGTTTGTTTGACAGAATTTACCGTCTGTGCCTTGACCCAGGTGGATCATTTTGCACAGTACACACTGAGACTTTGCTGCTGAATGAGTTCTGTCCTTTCAAGTCCCACAACTGTCCCAGTATTGTTTTGTGCACTCCAAGGTGGACCCTACTGTTGTTTGCAAAACATGATGCTGACTTCTGCCACAGCCATAAGCTAACTAGGATATTTTTCTTCAGGAAATTCAACAAGAAACTGATATCCCTGAAAGAGAACTGGTTAGAGCCCTACAGTCCCTTGCATGTGGCAAACCAACACAACGTGTTCTCACAAAAGAGCCTAAATCAAAAGAAATAGAAAATGGTCATATATTTACAGTGAATGATCAGTTCACATCTAAACTACACAGAGTCAAGATTCAGACAGGTAAGTGAGCTTTATATTCTACTCTCTTGCAGTCCCAAAACTGCCTTAAACTTCCAAATTATCTTGTGCAGGATTGATGTCTATAGAAGTAAAGGGAAGAGAGAAATACAGAGGGGTTTTGTTGATGATTAGTTGCATCAAAATGGAAATTTAAATACTGAGAGAAGTCTGGGAGTTATAGTTAAGCCTTCTACTGTACAAAATTTGTAATTATCTCTTCGAGGAAATGTTGAAATCAAAATCAAGTTCGAATTAAATAATAAAATGAATAATGTGCTACTGATTAATTCAGAAATAGGAAAATTGTCGCATAAGTTGCTGTACTGCTGTGAGAGTGATGCTTTTAGCATCATCTAGGTAAATTGTGTGACAGCTCTTTGAGCTTCAGCCGAGTTCTGCGTTTTCATTCCCACTCCACAAATATCCGTGAATGGGGAATATAGTTTGAGATTCAGGATGGTTTTAGGGTGGGTTTATGCTTCTGCCATGGCACAGAAAACTTCTTGTCTCTTTAAAACCATTAAATACTTGGGGCTGTTGGGTGAAGGGCAGGGGGGAAATGGTATCCGAGTGCAGGAGGAGGGCTTGGTTGTAATGATGCTTGGGTGAAAGAAAAGCTAGACCTAAGGGCAAAAATAAAACAGAAATAGAAGAGGAGAACAGAATACAGATAATGGAGCTGGAGAGGATAAAATTGAACAATTTCTTCTGACTGATGAACTTTAAAAGGGAAGTAGTGGCTGCCCCAACCCTGGCAGTGTTCACAGCCAGGTTGGATGAGCCTTGAGCAACCTGCTCTGGTGGGAGGTGTCCCTGCCCAGGGCAGGGGGTTGGGACTTGTTGATCTGTGAGGTCCATTCCAACCCCTGAAATTCTAGATTTTATGAACTAGTTTGCAAAGTAAATTTTCAATCCATTTTCTATTTTAATTCATTGCTTATATGCCACGTTAAAGAGAAAACTGTTTAACGTGAGCATGGGTGTCAGTGGTGCCTGTGCCTGTAAGCAGATTTGAGTACTGTTCAAATTTTAACGTAGTAGTAATTAAATAACAGATTGTTATCTTGTCAGTTGCTATCAAAATATGCCAGAAAGTGTTAATATGTTCTTGTGGCTGCTTTTCGTTTTAAAAAAATAATCAAGTTTGAGAATGTCAAAACTCAGGAAAATATAACTTGATGTCTAGATGAAATAAATAGTGAAGCTAATGCACAATGAAATAAATTTTAGTTTTGCTAACATAAATTGTATTCTCTTTCTCTTCTCTAAGTTGCTGCCAAACAAGGAGAATCTGATCCAGAAAGGAAAGAAACAAGGCAGAAAGTAGATGATGACAGAAAACATGAGATAGAAGCTGCTATAGTTCGGATAATGAAATCTAGGAAGAAGATGCAACACAATGTGCTAGTAGCAGAGGTATGGTGGCACACAGATCTGAGATGGGCTTGGGAATTCTTTCTGCTTTTCCTGTCGCTCATCAAAGTTACACAGGCCTTACTATCATGACTCTGAAAGGCTTTTGAGAGATGCTGTATTTAATCCATTGTTTGTTTTTTCCCGAGCTGAAGTTATATCAATTTTTACCCTTCACTTTAAGATGTACTCATGGTTATAGCTACTTTTCCTTCCTCCTTGTAGTCCTGCTGTGATGCTAAATTCCTTGAAAGGCAGTTGCCAACAAAAAGCAGTGTGCTTAACATCATATTCTGCTTTGATCTAGGACTGCTGGGTCCAGGTTTGAGAGATTTGAGCTCTTAGCAGAGAGAAATAGTCCTGCTGCTCTCAACCCCTAAGTTCTGACAGCTTCAGGACAGTACACATTTTCCACTCCTGAGCTCCCTCAGGGCTGTGGAATTGAGAGGCTTCTCAGGTTGTGGCCTTGCCTCTCTGGAGGGTCAGTGCTTTGAATCCTGCCCAAGCATGAGCAAGCACTGGGACAAGGCAAACTGTCAGAAGTCTGCAGGCTGCTCCTTCTGCTTCATCATTGTGGCCATCTCTGTCTTAGCATGTTTTTCTGATGACCATGTTCTGTTGGGATGCTTGGGCATCTTCCCTGCCCTGTGATCTTACGTGACTGGGTTTTGTCCTGTGTTTTAGGTAACTCAGCAGCTGAAGGCTCGATTCTTACCAAGTCCAGTTGTTATTAAAAAACGTATTGAAGGACTTATTGAGAGAGAGTATTTGGCACGAACACCTGAGGATCGCAAAGTATACACTTACGTAGCATAAAACGCGTTCGGAGATTTGATTTATCCTTGGACTATACTCTTCGCATGAACTGGGAAGTTCTTTTAAATCATTAATATTAAGATGACCATCTCTTCTATTAAATTACAATACATGTTCTAGACCATTCAGATCAAGCCTTTTACTCCTTTTGAGAGTTTTCAACATCACTCGATTGAGCTTCAGGCTTTTCAACGTTATCCCTGTAGAGATCATCCTTACAATTCTTCGGGAAAATGTGAATGTGCCGCGTTTGTTTTCAATACTGTATGAAAACAGAGAAATAAAAACCAATTTAGAAAATACAGCTCATTGAAAAAGAAAAAAAAAACAAACAAAAAATAAAAATGTTGGAATTTCATTTCCCCAGATCTTCAGTGTTGATGTAAATGTGTTTCTGTAGTGTTGCTTAGCACTTCGCGCATTGTATAAGTTGGGTTTAAAAGAAACCACAAGTGGTAAGGCGAAATTCCCAGTTATATTGCTCTGCTTCAAATGTTTCTTTAACTAGACATGTTTAATTTAAATACTTGGTAATTTTTTTTGAAAACCCAAGAAGACAACTTGAGCATGTTTCCACTCTTCCAGCTGCACTCACTGTTCCAACAACATGAACCAGGAACTTCTGGGGGCTCAGAAAAGACCGTAATAAGTTTGGCTTTGCCTTCTGTAATTTGAGTTCTTCTAAATTAAACTCTATATTGATTAGGTTTGTTCTGGTTTCTTTATAGGAAAAAAGGACAAGATTTTAGTGTGTATAAACTGTATAATAATTTTTGCTGTTGTACTCACTGCTGATGGTGGATTGTACAGGGCGATGTTTTTATTTCACTAAATGTAGACAAAATAAATTGAAAATAAATGGATTTAGTGTACACAAACAACTAATTCAAGTGTGTTAGAGTGCAGGGTTGACAATCTTTTGGAACTAAATACTGTCCCCTGGGGAAATGTACCGGGATTATATTTTGCTAATAAACCTCACAGATGGATCTGGAGCCCCAGGGCTTCCCATCACAAGTGCATATTTCAGGAGATTAAAGTGAAGCCACCGTGCACTATTTGTTTTCAAAAATGCATTTTAAACATGCAATAAAAAACTGTTACTGTAATGAAATTTTTAGTTCTTGCCCTGGAACTTCGGTTTCTTCTTGACAGTACCCTGCAAAAATAGATGACAAATAGCAGTTTGAGCAGCATCATTTTTCTCAGAGTTGGAAATTTTCAAGTGTGCATTGTACTGCAGTTTTTATTAAACCATATTTCTGACGTTCCAATGCACATTTCGTAGTTTCCCTGCCATAGCTATTTTTCTGGTTTGATTCAAAACAATTCTTTTTGTCTTAGTTCACATCACTTTCATCCACAGATCTTGGAGTTGTGTTGAATGAGTGTGTGGTGCTGGTGCAATGTCCCAGAGCGACTGGAGCGTATTTTTCATGATGTGTCCACAATTTCACCCTCTCCAGCCTGTTCTGCTGGGTATTGTTCAGGAGTAGGAGATATTTCTAAAGAGAGGGACTGCAATTGGGGTGATATTTTAGCTTGAGTATTCTGCTGCCTTTTTTATGAAGCTTTACCTAAGTTTACTGCACACACACAGACATAGACAGTAGTTTTTGGGTCATCAGAGTCCCTCAGTTCTTGGCTGAGGGACTTTCCTGCCCTAGTCCATCAGGAATTTAGCCCCAAAAGAAACCAGCTGGGCTATTGGCCCTTCTGAAGAGGTGTTTGCTGGCTGTTGGTAGAACACTGTGTCTCTGCACAGTCTATGCAAATCTTCAATAAAGATGTGGTCCTTGTTTAGCCACAGGACAATACTAAATCCAGGTTGGAGCTGATCTGGGGTTTTGATTTTGTTTGAAGTCATCAGAAATATCTTCCTCAAAATGTAACTCGCTCTTCCATGTACTAGTATGGAGATTGTTCTATGCATATCTTACTCTTTAACAGCATGAATGTTGTGATATTTAATGTTGATGCTTTCCCATGTGCTTTTCAGGGAGAAATGAGTGCAAGTCCTTTTCCCTGTGAAGCTTCTAGAAACAGTAGTGTTGTAATTTGGGACAGGAGAGGAGGACTTTGTCCTTCACATTGCCATTGTACTTTTGCTGTGCATCAGCTGAAGCTTCCTAGCTCTGGTGTCTTTTGGAAGTGCTCAGCTTGAATGTGACAGGAATGACCATGTAATTTTGTGTTTAAGGGTGGGGTTTTACAAGCTGTGTGGGCAGGAGTGTTTGCCAGACTAGCAGGTGATGATGGCTATTTTCAGTAACAAATCCTACGAGTACAGATTCCATTTCAATGGCTTTTTAAAGATACTGTTCAGGAAGGGACTTCCACTGAAGTCACTTCTTGGAAATGTGCCCTTTTACCATTGAACAACTGAGATCCTGATACTGAGGACTGAAAGACAGAGAACATGAAAACTCTGGTCAGAGAGAACAAGGCATCACCAGGACTCTGCCTAAGGTGAGTTTGTTTACGTGTTTTTGTATTCTAGTGGAGTTTCATTTATAATCCATAGCAGAATTCTGCTAGGCCTTACCTCATTTAATTCTTTCTTAATTTCCACTTTAAACTTCTTTGTAATTTTGTTAAAATTTCATTAGTAGGATTGTAGTTACACGTATGAGTGTAATTAGTAAGTTTGGTGTCTTTGCAATAATGTGCATTTAAATGCAGTAACAACACATAGAAAACGTGGAGTTTGTAATTCCTTAGAGTATTTTAAAGCAGGTTTAGAATATTACAGCTGTTTGAAGATGTGTAGAAATGTACCTTCCTTGCAGACAAGTTTATTTAAAAGGATTGTGAGTATACTTCAGTTGCCCTCATAACAAATAAGATTATCCTATGGATCCCTGATGGAGCTCTTGCTCTTTTCCATGTTAGCTACCTTTACAGCTTCCATTTGCTCTTTGTGTCTCCTAGAATTAATCCATACAGTTTCCCCATTGACTGCAGAGCAAATGCCTGCTAAGTGTGTCTGCTAAGCAGACCAAGTCTGGGATGCTAAGCTAATCCTGAATGCAATGTCCCTCCTCACCCCCTTTCCTCAAGACCAACTTTGTCCTGCTGACCCTAAATCTTTCAGTGCAATATTGACTGTTCTCTTTACACTGCTCCTTGAGAATTGGCAACTGATGTCAGGTGTATTTTGCTGCACCTGTGAAAACAGAAGCACTAAATGTGCTGGATGACATTTTTATTCACATGTAATGAAATGGTATAGTACCTGACGGATGACCTGTGTGTATGTGTATATATACATACAT